CTTCATTATAAAACAAATAGAGAAGCCTTGACTGTGCTCTGTTCTGTTATATAGCACCTAGGAAGCGGCTAGAGCACTCAACTACGCCTCGTGTTTCTCCCTACACTTCTTTCGTGCTCTAGCCGCTTCCTGCGTGCTTTATAACAGAACAGAGCACAGTCAAGGCTTCTCTATTTGTTAAATAATCACCTTGCGCGAGGTGATAGTAGCTGGGTGCTAAATTTTAAAATGGTTGTCCCGTGTTTTGTCAATGTTACACTGGAAGTGAAACGGAGCAATAGCAAAAGATTCAACTCTGATGAGCACAAAAGGTGCTTTTTAGTATGACGTAATACTATGCAAAAGAAAGATATGAAGTTTTTTTATGATTGAAATGAATAAGCCTATTAAATTTTGGTGGAAACTGGCTGTTAATCTCGATAGGAGGAATCAAAACAATCATAACTGAATAGTTTTAGTAACAAAACAAATTTACAACAGAATTCGAAAGCATCTGAACAATTATACTCAAACAATTATTCGCCTCAGGCTTGGTGAATGTTGTTGAATAATCCCCTTCGACAATTATTCAACGGTATTCACCTCGCCTCCGGCGAATAATTGGTTATTAAACTACATTAGGAGCAATCTATTTTCAATTATCATGAATCTGATTTAAAAACTATTGACTATTCTAGGTAGCGTTTTCGTGAGCGAAAAGAAGAAGGAATGGAATCAACTCCACACCGCTGCAAGAGAAGGTGATATCAGCAAAATGGAATCCCTCCTCTCTGATGGAATTTGTATTGACTCACAAGAAAGCACTCATAAGACGCCATTGATGATCGCAGCTTTTAATGGCAAGCTACGGGCTGTTAGATATCTGATTGAAAACGGAGCAGATATGTCGATAGTAGATAACAGTGGATGGAACTCGTTACATTTTGCTTCACAAGGGGGTGACCCTGATATGATTGATCTGATAGCCAGTCACGTGGCTGATATTGATTCACTTGCTAGTGAGGCTTTCACTCCGCTTATGGTTGCCTCTGATAATGGCCGTCTCCAGGCCGTGAAGTATCTTCTAAAATCGGGAGCAGATCTCTCGTTGAAAGACGGCAATGGCTGGAAACCTGTACACCACGCCGCACGAGGTGGCAATCCCGCCGTCATAGAACTGTTCCTTTGTGAAGTGGAAGAAATCGACCTCAGGGCCAACCGAGGTGAAACGCCATTAATGATTGCTGGTTACTATGGGAACCTCCAGGCTGTAAAGTACTTTCTGGAAAAGGGTGCTGACCCGTCTCTAAAAGACAAGAAGGGATGGAATTCGTTGCATCATGCCTCAAGAGGAGTGAATCCCGACGTTATTGAACTTTTTCTGAGGTGTATGGCGGATGATGCAATCGACTCCATGACAGATCAGTGGTATACACCATTAATGATCGCTGCTGGAAATGGTAGGCTTCAGATCGTAGAATTTCTCATGCGAAAAAATGCATGTCCGTACGCCCGTGACAGCAATGGATATTCCCCATATGACTGGGCTTTGCATAGTCAAGAACCACGTATGCTAGATTATTTACTTGAGCGACCCGCATTGGCGTTTGAAATTCAAATTTTTAAAGAGCGTATGACTGAGTATTGCGATTCATAAATAATGAAAACACGCAAGGGAAGTCAATTCACACATCCAAAATAATGGCAAATTAAAGGAGTGAAAAAATGGAATTGGTTTCAACATGGCTCAAGGGGTGTGAACTCAGATATCGCTCAGCCATCTCTTAGCTATATGCTTTACATTAAAACTACAGCTGATCAGCGGTTTAAAACATTTTTCCTTAAAACTAATTCGTCCTCAGTCGCCTCTCTACTTTTAGGTGTTACGAAAGATTGGCACGAGTCCCCTTCCTTCCCAGCGTCTCCTAGTATCAGTCTCCCGCGATCCCGCCGCCGCGTACGAGACGAATGGAGACAAGTCAGATGTCATGTTTGAAGTTCTACGAGTCCCTCAACATCAGTACGCATATTCCCCTTACTGTTCTCCATACATTTCTTAAGGCAACGACAAGGAGAATTTGGTATAACAATCAAACGCTTCTTTAAATGGTGATTATTTCCTTGACACTCGTGGCCTTAATGTTTGCTTCAGGGGCAAAATTGTTCGGAGAAATTAGGGGTAGTCACTCTTAAGAATTCAAAAGGTTATGGAGTAGTCACAAAACACAAATAAAATACAAGATGGTTTTTTTTCTCAACATTTATTTAAGATAAAATTATACGATTTAACAGAAGGCCGCTTCGAAAATAGCTGTATTTAGTAATAAATATGAGCGGCGTGGTTTATAATTTACTCTTCTCCTAAAAATTTTCGTCCGGCAAGCAAGAAAAAGAGGATAGTTTCTTCCATAGGAAGAGAATTGACGGTAAACAGTCGGGTGAATTTGTCAAACAGTGAAAGTAAGCGAAGATCTTAATGCTGTTCTTTTTCTGTTACAAAAAAAAATATTATCTCGTGAAACACATGGGTAAGACTACTTTCGATGGAATAAACCATAACGAATAGTGATTTTGTAACTTTATAAGCGTGGCTTGTGATCAAGTTGTGTTGACAAGTTTTCTGCGAGGTACCATGCATGTAAAAACGTATCCTCTACCAACAAATTCTCCCAGTAAGAGGAGAAAACTCAATCGAGCGTGAAATGATTTGCTAAATGTACTGTCTGGAAAGGAAAATAGAGAAAGAAAACCTCTTTGCCTATGCGAAAGCATGAAAGTACTCCTCGCAAGTTTTCTGCCCCAGCTATTCTGTTCCAAATCCTGCTGAATATTTTCAATGTACTAAGTTCCACTCCTGAAGAGTGATCCATTTTTAACGATTATGGTTGGTTTTGTGTTAAGAACACTTTAAATGAAAACCCGGGGAAATTCCACTTCCGAGTTAAGGACTTCAGTTACACACAGACAAGTTAGCTTTACTTCGTGGTGAGTAGCTCCTGATGGTTGATGTCACGCTAGTAGAGGTTCTGTCGCGATGACATCTGAATGTAACACAAGTCTTCAATTTCACAGAGAATATTTCTGCTTCAGTATGCCTTCTGTCGAATAACACAGAATACACACATTCCAGCGGTATTGGTGTGGAGATGGTGGTGATGATGATGATGTTGAAATAACATCGAAGCATGTAACATGCATCGCTTGAGGGCAACTTGAATCTTATCAAGCGTGACACTTCATGCTCAGCCAACAAGTGTTATACTCTGCGGGGCATGGGTACCAGCTACTGCCAGCAGTAAAGGCACATCGTTGTCATCCACACTGAAAAAAAAAATGAAGAAAAAAACTTACCATCGATCTAAAGTACCCCCCAAAAATAGCTAACAATTCCAAGCCAGAATATATAAAACACGAAGGTGGCAAATAACAATTCTAGCAAGTTGTTTTTAAGTGCTGAAAAATTCACAAAGAAATAAATTGCAAACCTGTTCCCTCCGTGCCGAGCCGGGCCCCCACCACGCCCAGTTCCCCCTTACCCTCTTCCTTCCCAACAGACACACACAAACTCTCTGAATGAAAACTCTAATTAGAGAGACTGT